CATGGATTCCGTTCTGTAATTCTCCATGCAGGCACAATGTAACGCCATGATCGACTTCCTTTTCAATTTTATTCTCTTTTCCATCGTTTGTCTCTGTCCCTGTCTACACAATGATGTCCTGAACATCTCTAAACTCCAGCCTGGCAGACGAGTGAGAACAAGTTTAGACTATACCAAGGGTTTAACATTGAAGTTAACTTCACAGCAATGTTAGCCATCATGCTTGTGGTTGTCTTACATTTGAATACTCTGCATTGCTTCTACCTATTCTGTGCACTGGTGTCCTTGCAGTGGCTCTTGCTTATCGTCAGCAACAGTGTGTGCGTACATGCAAATGTGTGTGTGTCTGTGTTTGTAAATGCAGGTATAGGCTTCCAGGCAGCACAGGCAGCTCTGATGTGAAGTGACATGTTGAGGGACTAAGCCTTTGGACACTGGCTGAGGGAGGAAAGAAAAAACAAATAAAAACAGACATAGCCTTTATAAAAGATGAAAAAAAGCTCAAACTCAACCGCATCAGAGCAGCAGATGGCACGTCGACCTCCCCCTCCCCCCGGCGGGCTTTAATTTAAATATCCCTCTATCGTTCTTTAATCATGCATCACTTTTTTTTTATCATCCTACTACAACAACTAAATATCTGGGAATACGAGCACAGATGCGTGGACGCAGAGTAACACTGCGACCACTTGAACCTGGGTGTGACTGGCTTGTCGGGGAGAATGAGAGAGGACCTCTTCCTCTGGCTGCTACAGTCCTCACTGTCCGTCCGGATCAGGCCGATTCACCTGCCTGCTTGTCTGCTGGGCTTAGTGTTACGTGTTCTCTCTGTTACCTCACCTGACCCATTTTAAACACAGTTTAACTGACGGAGATTATACACCGTGCTTGAACATCTGCTCTCTACCATCGAAAAAACTAAATATTGTAAGAATCAGTTTCCAAGTTTGACTGAATAAAGCTCAAACACCTAAATTCCCTGAAGATTGGTTGTAATGATCCGTTCATAGAGCTTTTAACCCCCTCCAAAAGGTTATTGAAAACACTGCAGCCAAGGTATTGACAAAAATGAGGGAAAAAACAACCACATCGCAACAGCACTAAAATCCTTTCACTGGCCACCTGTCACTCAAAGAATGTTCTTCAATATCTAACAGCTTGTGCACAAATCTCCTTGTGTCTATGGGCCCAATTAAACCTGATTTAATGCTGTGTGAAGCTCAGAACCCTCAGGATCTCTGGGACTAGCTCGTTGTTAGAACTAAACACGGTGTAGCAGCATCTTATCCTGAAAAACAGACCTGGAATAACCTCCCAGGTTATTAGACATTTTTACGCTACTTTAAATTTTGTCTTCCCTTCCTGGTTACTGCTAAAAGCTTATTTTAAATCGCATTCTATATATTTATTCATTTCAAATAATTAATTGATGTATCACTTGCCAGTACTTTCACACTTTTCAAACGCACATTTGTACCTTTGTTGCATTTAATTATCCTGTAAATTACATTGAATTTCCCTAGTGTTTGATACGTGCTTTATAAATAACTTTTCCTTGCTTTGCCTTGAATGGGAATAACTGCAACTTAAATATAACCTTCCAGGCAGGACAAATACACAGAGCTCTTCAGCTGGCAGGGTGTTCCTGAGTGTTCATGGACAACATACTTCAGAACACAGCAGCAGATGCTGAAATAAAAACTTGACCCTAGGATTTCTGATTGAAAGACAAGCCCCCTGCTCACTACACCACAACCTACAGCCACCCGCTACAGAGAAGAAGAAAATGCAGGTCAACACAACAGTGGTGCTACGCATCAATCTAAGTTAATGTCAGAAACATCAGTAACCACAATAACAAAAACGTATCATTTATATTTTAAAAAATCCTATGATGTGGCATCTTTATGAAAAATATGCATCTGATTGCAAAAGTTTGAAATAATAAAAGAAACTTATGTAGCTACAATAAATTCTAAATGTGTTTAAATACTTGGTAACAACATATTCCTTTAAAGATGAAAGCACATTTGACTATAATTATAAAAAGAATAGGTAATAGTGATACTAGACGATGAAATAATCAAACAATTTGATATTTTTAAATGGTCTAAAATTTACCTCTGAAAGTTTATTATATTGATGTCTGTCTGCGCTTGAAATGCACAAAACGAGCTGCCGATGACGCAGCGTATTAAAAAGTAACTGATTGCTTTTTGAGACAGATGTTGTGTTCATGAATCTTGAAGCAGAAACCCAAACTGACTGCAGAATGAGGCGAGGGGTCTCACCGCCACAGTCAAGGTTCTGCGCTCTGACAACAGAGCAGATGGCTGCTCGTGGAAATAAACCAGAACAGAGTCGGAGACAGTGCACATTCTCCACTACATGCAGCTCATCCTCCCACACACACTGCCCTTTCATGTTGTCACTGGAAAAATGTTTTGATTCAAACTGAAAAAAGAGAACATTTACAAGTAGCCTTTTATTTTTTTGAATCACCTTGCACCACTTCGGGCGAAGCATTCGGTCTTGCAATGCCTATGTACACACAAAAGCATCCTGTGCACATGTGCGCGTGTGAGCGTAACATTGCAGTGACACTCTGTTGAACTGTGGCAAATTACAGAACGACTGGGTGAATTCAGTTAATCCCTTGGCTACTTTGTTTACATGTGTGTGGTTCTCAGTTTGTATGACAGAGCTCGATTTCAAGGCCTCCACTGAGAAATGAGCATTTTACTCAGACAGAAACTTGATCTCGACATCTGATATTTCAAATAATACATAGGAATAAACAGCATTGCAGTGACCAACACGTTATGTTTTGGTTTTATGCAACTACATTGAAACTGCACTGTGATTAAAACATTAAATATATTTTCTGTAATAGCAGATGTTTTTGTCACAGTTTTTTTTCACCTTTTCAGAGCAGAGGATTACATAACAGCTATTAAAGCCTGAGTAAACACTTCAAAAACAACATTACCTCCAAACTAACAGCTCATGATAGGAGAGCACTGCTCATTAGTTCCACTGCTACACACTGAACATTTATATACAGACGCACATTACGGAACAGTGTTTAAAATCATTATCATCATTACCATTTATCTAAAAAAATATACAATATGTGCTTTACACTGTATGTTTTAAGTAAAAACAACTATTTGTGTCGCACAAGACTCTTATTGTGAAAGAGACGCAGTAAATGACTAGACGCACTGATCTACAAACCACTGCAAGAATAATGACCCCACTGACTCATGTCCGATACAATAACATCCCTTTAGCCTTCCAGCCATGCAGCAGTATATTTTAAACAGATGGAGGACAGCCAGAAAAACATCCCACTGCCTGCGATAAACACCCGACAGTTAATTGAATATCTCATAAAAAGGGAATTGAGTTAAAGGCAAAAAAGAAAAGACTGAAACCTTGATTCTTTTATTGTTAGTACTGTCTAGAGTTTCAAGTTGAAGTAAAAAGAAAAAAAAGCTGTAGGATTTATATTACCTGTAAGTATATAGTGGGCCTTTATTTAAAATTTCAGTCAGCTCCTCTGGATACTGCGGCTGATCTAATGAGAATGAATCCTCCTCCGGCCAAAGTTTGTCTCTGCGGCTCTACTTTCCTTGATTTCACACCCGAGACAAGCAGAACGAAAACATGCATTTCCTTCCGTAACATTGCAAACACAACTCCCTGACATCTCATGCATATAAACATAAGCAAACATGCGTGCACATGCAAACACACTTTGGGCCCTTCACTAAAACGCCAACACTTTGCAGGGGAAGCAGTTGTTTCTACTCGAGCCAACGTTTATATTCCTGCAGTGTTTGTGAATGGGATCCCGTCATGAAAACACTGTATGACTGACACACCTATCCCTTCTCTGTGCTATTTAATAAGCACAGCATTTGATTAAAGCCACCCTTGTCAGAGCAAGACATGAAAGACAGTTGACTCAGGTATAATAATAGATGGGAGAGGGTTACAGGTCAGAAAGTCAATATTTCACTCAATTTTACTGAAAAACATTATGACTTTTTCTCAAATAAAGGTTTTTTTAAAATCGGATGAAATGTAACTGGTCCATATTGTGTCTCATCCACATGATGAAACTAAATATGAAGCAGAATAGAAGAGTGGCACAGAACAGATTAGATAATATTATTACATACAATTATAAGTTCTGCAGTGAGTATCAGTGACATTTAAACATTGATAAATTTCAGCAGACCGGTGTGTACACAATCTTTCGTTTATCTTTGAATTTGTGCTCAATTGTATCTCAGGTCCCTGAACGAGCTAAATCTCTGTTATGTAAGCAGTGGAATAAAAAATTCTACATCGTCACACACATTCAAAACTGCCTTTCAAATGCTCTTGTGTTGAACCATCAGGTTGAGTCTTATGAAAAAAACTTTTATGTTTGCCTGGGGAAAAACACAAATAAAGCCCTTTATGCAAGAATGGGTCAAAATACGTTAAAGCGCATCCACCCAGTGAGCAGTAGTCATAGTTTTTTTTTTTTTTTTACAATAAATCCATGGCTGCTTTAAATGTCCCACTGTCAGCGTGGCAGTTTTCTATTGAACATGGATCCCACAGGGGAAGTGAGAGATACCGGACAGTCAGTAGCCCTTATGGATTTTATTTTTTGGCAGTAAGAACTAAAAATGGGTAAAAGCAGAGAAGGGCACATCTGCTTCTCTGAAGGTTTATGCCGTAACCTCCAGATATAAACCAGCTCGAGCTACAGATCAACAGGGATTGTTTACAGATCAGAACACCAAACAGGGACAGTCATGTTATTTGATATTTTGCATGCATGGCTACGTTTTAAGATTATAATTATATTTGCTATGAGTTATTATCACTTTTGCACATCATAACACACACACACTGTATCACATCCCGAGACAGAAGTATTCAACTTATTCTTCTAATAAATAATCTAATATATTGAGACTTGTTAGGAAACTTTTTCTTACCTGAGACAGTCCTGACGATCTCAGAGGTGTTCCTCAGGCCCACGAAGGAGAACTGGTACAGCCTCCAGGAGCGAATGTCCCCAACCTCCACGGAGCTCCGTTTCCACTTGTACACAATCTCCTCTCTGGGGTAGCCGTCTGAGCACGAGAGAACAGAGTCAGTGTGACATGGAGCTCAGCAGAAACCCAGAGGAGAGAGGCTCAGTGCAAAAACAATACAGTGTCGACTAATATTCATCCCTTTTAGAAAATGTCTCAAGACTTGATAGGCTTCAGCAATTTCAGTAGGACTGTTTAATATGAAATACAAGTAAAAAGCAGTCTGTTCTGTAAGAAGCATGACACACTGAAGAGAAATATAAACACAACTTACAAGATCTTTAAAAATGTAAGAATAAAACCACACAGAAAACCAGAACATTGAACATTCAATGAAGAAAACAAATGACCAAACTTATCCAGGACGTTTTCATGTGGAGCACATGCACAGACACTTAAACAATATAGTGCTCAGTGTTCCAATTTCACGACTCAGTGTCAGGTATGGATCTTGTGCTTCCGTGGTGACCTGTGAAAATGCCGTCTTAGACAGCTGATAGTTGAATGAAGGAAATTCAATTGTGCCGACACGGCTCCGGTTGATATTCCTGCAGTCACCATGCCGACCGCACGCACCATCACAACTAACGACATATGTGACATTTGAAAAAATATGACATCTTGTAGTGGCCTAGACCAATCGTAAGCAGCATGTTGTGAGAAAACTTGAAAATCTCTTTTGTGTGGACTAAAAAATGTATATATCTAGTCTAACTGTGGGGAGGAACAATCTCTTTCAGGAAAACTTCAAAGTTAAAATTACATCGATCTGCAGCTGGGGATGAGTTCGATCTCTGTAATTTTATTAATTCAAGAGCTGAGAATCTAATATAATCTCACATGTCTGATACTGATTCACTTAGATGAGTAGATGCATTACTATAATCTAATCATATTTGCTGTTATTGAATTTCTATCTTGTAGCTAAATTTGAAAACAAAAGTAGTTAAACTTATTTCGAATTAGCTGGAACTTGAATTTAGAAATGGGCTCCTTATGCTTCTCCTGTGAATGGACCTCACTAAGTGTTCCCAAGTACAGAGATTTAAGTTTTACTTTAATGATCTTCGGCCAAATCTCTTTAGATTTCACTCTGGTGCCATCTTCACTCTAGTGTTGAGCCATTGAATAATGCACACAAACTTTCCTCGGTGCAAACTTAAAACGACTTTACGACTAGAGTGCTCTCAGACATCCAATAATGCTGGACCTCACAGGAGCAGGGGATGGAAGGATCTGCCCATTTGCCACATTACTGCCGGCCAGGCAGGCAGTCTGCTCCCTCACTGGCAATACATGGGGGGCAAATTATTCTTTTAGTGTCTTTTTGGGAACCTAGAGTGCTCCTGGAGCTCGGTGTCAGGAATTCACTTTGGAGCTAGTTGTGCAAGTCGAAGCATTAATTAAGATATTCAAATGAGCAACTGGAATCCACCTCCACGTCTATAAGTCACTCTCCGGCTGAATGCAGTGAGTTAACAGTCAAGACGACTGCAACGGAGGCAGCTTCGTGGCACGTGTTGAGAAAATACGCCATGTGATGAAAGCGGCGAACTGCCCCGCCTGCTTCTTCTGAGACCCAGCTCATGTATGCACATCAAGTGATTTTCAAAGTTCAGAAAACATCCATAGCTTTCATCAAATTTACATGAATGCTTCTGTTCCATTTTTAGGCTGGCTGCCCCCCCCCACCGGTTTCGCTTTCTTGTTGCTCTGGAGCTATTTAGGAAGCATTCTCTGGAGAGTATCCCATGGTGCATCTCTCTGTAGATCCGTAGCAGCCTCATTAGCATAACTTGCCCCTCCGTCCGGTGGTCACACAGTGATACTGACTCATTTGACTGGTCACCTTTTAGAACAGTATTGACAAAGTGCAGGGAAATCAATCACCTCTTCGGCTTTGATCGAGTTGGTAATGAAACATCCATTATTAAATACCTTTACTGAATGCCAGTACAAACCTTGAATGAATTTCATTATTTGCATCTTTATGAATAAATGCATTTATTTTTGATATAAGTTTTTCTACGTATAATAGAGCTGTTTAAAAACTATATTAGCATTTTGGCAATCAGAGACTGCAAGATATTTTGTGCATACTGCAAATGCATGCACACTTTCATATGTGCAGCAATCTGTTAAACCTAAATACACACGAGATGCATGTGATTGTTTTCAGGAGACTGCAGTGCTCGTATTGCACGGATTACTGCACCTGGAATTCCTTGGTTTGGCCTGTTGCATAATTTTTCCTTAAATTGTGTCTTTGTTAGGCTCATACATCGCATTTTCATGGCCCCAGTGTGTGTGTGTGTGTGTGTGTGTGTGTGTGTGTGTCCTTGAGATGGAACAGAGGGATGGGTAAGACAGTGGGGCATCAGCATATGGCCAGACTTACAGCTTGAAAACTCCAGGGGACATGAGTGCTCATCCATTGGGAAGTTGTTCAGTTTAAGCTGGCACTCGGCATCGATGGTCAACCTGCAGAGACACAATATTTAGATTCACTGACTCACGAGCTATAGCCAATTAAAAAAACAATCTATTTGAGTCTGTGTTGAAATAGTCAGAATTAAACCTCTCACCTTATCGCTAGAAACACCATGCATCATTAATTAAAATCTGCCTAAACTAAATTCATGTTTTCCACAGCAACACATCTGTCTCTCCTCTTCACACTTGAGGGAGTTCGTAGGCAAAGTCATTAAACTTCCCCTTAATGAGAGAATGACCTTAAATGACTTTACCCACCCATGTGCTCGCTATTGTCATGTATCATTGTCCTCGGCATCGCAGCGGTCATCCTAATTAACCAGTGGTTAAATTCAGAGTTCCTTAACAAATTAATGAAGTGGAGGGGTGTTGTTCTGCATAGGAGAACATCCATCACGGCTTGATTGAGTCCAGAAGAGTCCACTTTCTCTCTTATTACCACCCGTGATATATTGTGGTGTCAGTGTGAACGTCCGCTGCGTTTTCTGATGGCACGTAAAACATGATAATAAGCACAATTAATATTTCCCTTTAATCTTCCCTCCTGTCTTACACATGACACATATTTCTTGTCACTCCCATCTGTTTTGCACTGATAAATGTGTAGTACGTCCAGTGCATCAGAGCAGCATCGACTGTTATCCTCCAGTCTCAAGATCTCCAGGCAATAATGGGTCATTAGACAATAAAGCACTTATTTGTAATTAATATGATATTTGGAAAATTTTAAAAAAGCTTCAGAGCATTTCAGACGGTCAAACCACTGAAAAATATGACAGTCAAATTTAAAATGATTCGTATCAAGCCTCCATGAAAGAGCACCTAAAATAATAAGCTCAGGGCAATGGAGTTCCAGTGTTCCCTTCTCACATAACATCTTCCAGCCTCATTTGGTAAGACAGATTTCCTGCATGCTAATTAATGTCAACTTTCAAATGCTCAAATTTAAGATTGCCCAGGGCCTGTTCTGGATAATCAGCATCATAAATCATTAATGCAGAGAGGCCCTAAATGGCCGGGTACTTCAGAATGCTCTCTATAGTACTCTCTGCTTGTTGCTCGTGTTGGACTCCATAGAGACCCAGAAGAACCTCAATGAAAACTAATTTATAAAAATAGAAAAGGCCAAGCGATCTTGGAAATATCAGATTTTTTTACATCAACATCTACAAAATATTTCCTGAAGAAAAGTTGATTAATCAATGGCACATCGTGTTATTAAGGTAAATGATAAATTCTTGAAAGTAAACGATAATAATGAATAACAAGTGATTATTTAACTTTCAATATGATAAAATAGCAGCGATTACCATTAAATTGGATTACTCCGCTGCCCAATCATACAATCAACAAGCTTCAGGTCAGAAATGAATGAAAAATACCTAAATCAGTTCTTTAGTATCACATCTCAGTAATCCACCATGTTTTACCTGAGGGTGTAGAGTATTCGACCGTCGTTCCAGATTCGGAGCATGCGATTGGGTGTGGTGATCCAGTGAGCGTCTGCCTTCTTCGAATTGCGGAAAAACGTATCGGGGATCCAGATCTTTCCGACCATGTTGCTGTTGAGACGCAGCACCTTCATCGTGCTGTTGAATTTTAGCCTCCTGTCGTACCAGGTCTGGGCGAAGAAGATGTCGATGGTGTATTCCTGACGACAGACAAAACACAGTTCCACCCGCAACCGTTATGTTTAACCTCAGTTCAAATGCTGAACGTGCAACACACCAGATAAAAGTCTCCATTTGTCAGGAAAACCTCGCAGCATACAAAACAGCATTGTTTGGAGCCGCTGCTGTCACCAGTGTGGCTTTACTGCAAGATGCGATCCCATCAAATAAAAAACGTGGGCTCTTAAAGCACTCTGCTGCTTCCTCCTTTTCCTACACCAGTGGAAATTTAATTCAGGAACACATTTTCAGATACTTCTCCTCAGACAAAGTTGTTTCTATTCAGGCCAAGACGTCCCTTTGTCACTACTAAAGAGAGTCCTGTTGAAAAAGACCATCCTGAAGCCCGCAGCCTGAAAATTAAATGTTCAACAGTGCAATTAACAACTCCCATTGTTTGGCTGGAGTATTATCTAACCTCATAACCTGCTGCTTTGTCGTGAGCCTAACAAAACCTTCTGTCTCCCGTTCGGCCGTTGTGAGGGCTGTGTTAGAGCGTGACATATGAGGTGATAGAAGCAGGGTCAAATCTGGATGGATGTTCGAGGGAAAGGAGAGGAAGGGACAGTTTCTTCTTCCTCATTGTGTAACTTGCGATGGCTGAGCCCTACGTTTCAAAATGAAGTACAGAGAGAGAGGAAAAAACAACAACTGGGGATTTGTGAGCGAGAGGGCATAGAGGCATTAACTTCCTGACAAAGCTTAGCCCAACAATAAAGTTATAAATCCATGCCAAAGTGTCCTAAACGAGATTTGAAAACAACATTTTCACTTGGCAACACTCCTATCCTTTAGCCCCCCCTTTTATTTTCCCACAAAAGACAGATATACAGTTTAAATCCAATGACGAGAGAAAGACTGAATGCCTTAGGATCCTCATCTGGGCCCTGCTGAGAGATATAAACATCTTTTTTTTTTTCCTTTAACCTATATATACTCTGGGATCTTTCACAGAATCACACTTATTTCAATTCCAACGGTTCCACACTTCTAAGAAACGCTAAGAAACGCTCATCTCTAGTGGCTGCAAAGCATTAATTTAGGATTCCTTTTCTTCTTCACACCTTGATCTTCCTCTCGCTTTTTCTTTTTCTCTCTTGCCCCTCGTTCACACTCAAACGAGATGAAAAAATAATTTCAAAGATCCCTAACATGCGATCAAGAATTCCAATAGTGTTCGCGCTTAGATGCACCCCTCCCCCCCCCGCAGCGTCAGCCCATTCTCTGCTCTACAGACAATCTACCGACCTCACCACGTTTGTCACACGCTGGCGTGAATGCGCTGGCCCCACCTCGTTGATTACATATGACTGCGAAGCAATCAGTCAACCTTTCATGTCAGCAGAATGCCCTCGTCACACGCACACATATGCCCATCTATGCATGCAGACTCCCTCATGTGCGCATAAAATACACATTTTCTACTTGATCCCATCAATTTCAACTTCACTGTGAATGCAGTTATTGAGAGTGGGCATCGTAGCTAAGACTAAGTGAAATGGAACGCCACCGCCATGTAGAGCAGACAGCTCTGCAGAATCACAATAGAAACGGGCTCTCAGCGGGGACGTGCTGAGGAAAACAATGACACATAAAACAATGCTGATGTGAGTTTTACGAGACACTCAATTTATGATTCTTTCCTTCTCTCAGACAAACATTTTCCCTCACTGCTATCACACAACCAGTCCTGGCCTATTTTAGTCATGACTGCAGCATGACAGTAAATGTTCCCTTACTGCTGATACTGTGTTATTTACTCACTTCACCAGAGGTAATCAAAAAGCATCATGGGCTTGGGTCTTCCTGTTGTAATCTGCCAGCTGTAATTCTGCATTTCCAACTCTAAAATTGTTATTTTCATTTTCAGAAATATACTGATTCCACTTCTTTAGCTGGACATGAGCTGGAACTGATTTTTGTGGAAGCCTACCAATTTATTAGTTAGCTAATAAAAAAAAAAGGCCTTTCACAGACACATTAGCATCGTGTCTGTTTGCTGATTTTCGCTAACGGCAGCTGGGATTGGCTCCAGCCCTTCGTGACCCTTAAAAAGATAAGTGGTATGGATCATGATGGATATTAAATGGATACAATAAAGTTCATGGTAAAACTGTAAAATATCAAGCCTCAACTTGATAACATCTTAGGGGTGGTTGCCAATTTTCTTTTCCATGTGTGTGTGGGTGTGTGTATTGGTCGATGTGTCTGTATTGAAAAACGCATTATTAATTATTAATACTGGTGTCAACATGGGTCCCCATAAAAATCCACGTCAGGCACAGCACATTTGATGAACCGAAAAACAACCAGTACACAGCAACAGACCGCAATCAATCAAACACCTGAAGAGAAAAACAAAAACAAACCAGATCCAAGGAAAATCACAAATTGTTGTATCTCTCTGAAGAAACTGCAAAGACCTTGAGCAGGTGACACCTCAGATTGCAGCTGATGCAAGTCTTGGCAAGTGAAAAGTGAGAACATGGACAGATTTGCCAGCGCACACAGTCATTTGCAATTGGAGCTCGAGCCTGTGTGTTGAGCAACACAACTGGTTAGCTGTTAATGAGTATTCTAATTCAAAATTAGAGGTGTTTAATGGAATCAGACGGGTGGAATGGACCATATTTACTCACTGCGGTGCAAAGGCCAATGCAGTGGTTAAGCAGCTGATTGACACCTGTGCTTTTGTGTTGCTACTCTACAAGGGCAGTGTGGCAGCGTGGTGACAGCAAACCTCTGCCCTGCTGAAGTGTGCTTGAGCAAGACACTGAATCGCTGCCAGAGAAGACAACAACTCTCTGGAGCTTGATACCACCCCCCCACTAAAGATGGAGGCAGGTTAAAGACATGCTTCCCCACTATGTATAGGCAAAAGTTGTACATCTAGTATCAGGCCGAGGATTAAAGGTAACAATGACACACAAACATCACATTTCATTGCTACTTACCATATTGATGGCATTTACTGGGCCGATGCTGTTGACAAACATGTCTGTGTGGATCACTGTCGGTTTGACTGCAAAGAAGCACAGGACAGTTTGGAGATGAGGAGTCATCGATCATGTGCAAGATGCTCGTCAGGTTTTGTCATTATCATCATAATTATCATCATCATCATCATCATTGAACAACAAGAGGAAAATTAATATGTGTGCAGTTGTCAAGTTCGCTACAACCGCTGCGTTTCCACCGCAGGAACAGGGAAGGTTTGCAGGAACTATTTGTGTGTTTCCACAGAATCAAGTTCTTGGGAAATCTGTTTACCCACTAAACGTCCCTAAGAAAGTGCAGGAACCTTTAGGGAGGGGCTTGCAGCACTGAAGATGCCTGATTGGCCAATCATTTTATAGCAATAGCTTGTGAGATCAGTTTCCTCAGTTTGGTATTTCGTGTGTTTTGAATTTGCTCTGTGACTGATTATCGTCTCTTTTCTGATCAATAGCAGCACGATTTAAGTCTCCTCCATGTTCACTTTTGTTTTAATATCACTCCATTTGTACCCCCACCTGGTGGACCAGAGTTGAGCAGTTTGTTGTTGCTCTCTGTTGTTCATACATCAACAGGCTAATGTGCCTAATTTCCCCTGGTCTCTATTCCGTGGTGGAAGTAAGAAATGGTCGGCAGCAACCATTTAGCTCCTTGATAAAAGGACCAAAGGTTCAAGGCGATTTTGGTCGAAACGCGGCTAATGATGAGCAGTGGACAAAAAAATGCCTCTAAATGTAGACAAAAATGTTTAGATATCACAAAACCTTGCAGCATTCTGTTCATTCCATTCAACTACATACAGCAATTTTCATGAATAAAACTGATCCCATTCTACATCTACAGAACTGTATTACATTACAGGGGTTTTACAAGGATATATTAAATTGTGCTGACGAAATAGAAACCTAGCTCAGATGTTCTCATCTGTGACGAGGCTACATCCGACTTCCTCTCTAAACAGGCTTTCTGCCAATGAACCGCACATTTACTCTGTATTTATGGCCAAACTCCTGACCCATTTACCAGAATACCTTTGTGCCCTGTGCAACATCCCATCCAACCCTTTTCCTTCTCCTGTCCCTCCATGCTGGAGGCTCCATTTGATTGTGAATCATTTACCGTCTTTACTCACAGACCTGCTGCAGTTTGCTTTGCACTCACACAGAGATGCACTTGTTGGTTAAAATCCTAAAAATGCTGACGCAAGATGATAATTCTTGGCCAAAAGAGATCACGAGACAAATGTATGACACGACACGGGAGCAGCAGCTGCAGTGGAAATGACAAATGTCACTTTGCAATTATTAGTTTTTTAATTTTCTTCCAAGTAAGCAACTGCAAACACATTTCTGTTTTTTTACGTATATAAAATAATGAATCTTTGTTCTTCCACCGCCATGTATTACACCGCTTGCTGTCGGCTGCCTTTCCTGCTTAAGCGAGATGGACAGCAAGATGTCAAACAAAGTATGTCTGAAGGAACTGGGCAGCTTGGTGTCAAATGGACCTCCATGTGGATCAGCTTCTACACTTTGCCATCTAATGTGTATGCTTATGGATGAGTGGACATAATGTCTGAGGGTAGACTCGCGGGGCCTCTGGGCTTGACATGAAGGCTATAGTGATTGTGAGAGATAGACAGGAGGAGAGTGCACAGGTTTGCATCCATTTTTCATGTCACTCCCAGGCATACATGAGCGTACATTGCACCCCCACTGTCCGCACACACATGTACCTGAACAAACACACAGACGTTGGTGTTGCTTTTGGCCAGATATATTCGTGAGTGGCTAAGAATAAAAGTGCATTTTATTGGCATCCCATCGGCATCATTATTATTTATGTAACTGAAAAAGCAATGCCTAAAATATACAAGCTTGGACTGCACTATTAGCACAATCACATATTAAGTCGCAGGCATGGCATAAACAGGATTTAAAAGCAGAAATAATTATTGTATAGAGCCAACTGCAAAGTGTGTTCTTTTCATAAACGCACAAACAGGTGCCAGGAAACATCATTCCAAGAAGCAAGTGAACATAAAGTGGCTGTGCTGAAATTGTTTTAGGCAACATAATACATGCCAGTACACCCACCACAGGCGTCCTGGTAAAAGGATCCTCAAATTAGCGAAAAGAGCATCAAAATGCATTTTCAATCATTTAGACCCAGGGTTGTATAATGTTTTTTGGGGGGTTTTTTCGATACCGGTGCTGAATCAAATTTTTAAAACTTCCTGTGCCTGAACCGGTGCTTTTTCTTAGCTTCAAGCCATTTAGCTTGAGGCATGTTGTTGTTATGTCGACTCCGGTTTGAGGCAGCTACTAGCTAACCTTAAGAGCCAATTAGAAAATGTGTTGCCATGAGAGTTAAGTGAAATGTTAACTTGGCCCGTGGGGTGATGTTTATGTTGACTGGAAGGAGAGCTATTATTTCAGTTCATAGCTTAGGTTCTGAAATGAGGCACCAAAATCTGCGATGTGATTCGTTCTGGTAGATACCAAAGATTTCGGTACTCAACCCTATTAACACCTGCTTATAACATTCATTAATCTCACTTCACAATAGCTTTATGCCCTCAGTGCTACTCTATTAAACATAAACATCTATTTTCTAGAAGGCGATGACCTTGATCAATGCCATGTATGTATTTAGAATAAATTCTTACTCTCTCACTCTCTCAGTCCTTTTTGCTTCAGTCTATAAACTGCAGGGTCATTACATCTTAATGAGCACCACAATGGACTTCAAAGGGAAACTGTGGCACAATCAGTGATAAATCTAAATCCTCTGGATTTCACTGTGGAGTGAAAGAGAAACGTTGCCTCGTCTCAGTTTGGTTGGTTGGTTGGTTGGTTGGTTGGTTGGTGCCTCAGATGCAGCTAATTATAATCCTTCTGTAGCTGAGCAAGTTGGCAGCAGCTAGAGGACCAACACTGAAAAAGCAAGATCACAGCGCGTTTGAAGAAGATGGTTTAGAAGCAGCGGCTCTCTGGGTTGAAGCTGCACCTCAAAGCAAATATGAGCTGCTCTTCAATTTATAGCAAAAGCCCACTTCTAAAGTCTTAAGAATAAAGATGACGCCCCTCATGAAACGTGTCACATGGTATGGACTGTAGTGCTGCACATATCATGCTGTATAAAGAAATGCCATGAAAGCAGTTGAGCACAGGGGATTTACTATATACAGCCCTGTTACTCCGCTCTTTTATCTTGTGCTATCATTTCATTCAGTTCGTTGGTCGTACTTTAAAGCTGCATCAGGTCAGGAGGGGCTTGAATCTGGGTGGGTGGGTGGGGGGCATAGTGTAAACCTCTCAGAGTCAGATGTGAAATTGATGAGGCAGCACATGTACTCTGTCCTTATGTCAACGGTGGAGTAAGTGTAGCGGCAAAGACCACGGTGAATTTCAAATAAGGAGAAAAACAGGAAAAAATACCTATAATATAAGATTAGAGCCTCATCAGTTCATGTTTTTATTTTACAGAAGAAGCAGTGCAGAACATTCTGGCTGTTGAAAGACTTTTTTTTTTTCATCTATTGGCAGCCAAAGTTTTTACTCTCTAATATTAGTATCGGCATCAGTCCCCAAAAACCAAATCAGTCAGGCTCTTTTGAAGATTTGTTCATTTATCCACATAAATCCTGTAACACAATTTACTGGTTACCTGCACTTAATATTACCACTTGCTCCTCAGATACCTACAAAGTATTGACCTGTTCTGCTGCTTCTAGGGTGCCAGCTGTACATTTCTCCACATGTCCACCACAAGAAATACAACTTAATTTCAGCCAAAGAAGACAAATGTAAAGAGTAACTCTGACTTTTTTCAAACCATCTTTAGCACTGTTGCAGCACTCGGCAGATTCCCCCAATCCAGTGTGAGCACCACAGTAGATGGAGAGGCCATTAACAGCTGTCATATAGAGTGGTACATCTTTATCATTCTATAAAAGTGTGTGACACATTATGATTTAAACCAGTTTTCCCCAGTATACTGACCCATGAATCACGTATTCAAAGATGCTGAACATTTCCCCATTCTGCACTTGCAGCTGGACGTGACAGGCTTTAGAATATATGTGCACTTGTTCAGACAAGAGAGCCCTGCCCAGCTGTCTGTCACAGTGAGGAGAGTAAGCTACTTGTCGACTTCTCACATTGAAAAGAGAAAGCTTGCAAGACTTTGACAGACTGATATCCCAACTGTAACACATGCATGTAAGTAAACACAGGTACACATGCTTTATAATAATCCAAGTCACAACACACACAGAGTAGACTCTTGCGAACACACAGACATCTTGTAATGCCCAGCATGTCGTTATAATGAACTGTATGCTGAATGCCGTCAATCCTTTGTGTTCAGTTTCTGCAGCCTGAATGCAGTGAATGGAAGCGCTTTTTACTTCCGCTCATAAGAAGTCAGTATTTCTTTTGAAATTATTGAAATCTGCACGACAGATATTCAAGTACATATCAGATGCCATGACAGATCACTGGCTACCAATAAGGTGAAGCAACTTGTGAGTAAGTCTCGTCTTGAAGTTCCAAGTCAAGTCCAAATCCTCCACTTTGTTTTGGGTCCAACTCATACATGTGTTGCCAAATTCAATGCCATGTTTGGATTTCAAACAGAGCAGCAGTGTTGAACATTAACAGAACTAATACATGTGAATTTACTACTTTAACATAGACTAAATAAAACACCTAGGAGTAGATACATCTTTGTCAGGTGAAGCCATGAATAACTGGTGTTAAAGTCTTTTTTCTAAAATGAGGTTTAAAGTCAGATGCATGACTAGAGTCAGACTCAAGTTCAAGTCATGTGACTGAGTTAAAGAGGCATTAAAGAATAGAGAGGTATATTTTGGGATTCATTAACGAGAGTGTCAGGCTTCAGGCGTGAAGAGATGACAGGCTTCAAACAGCCCCTTCTGAAAAGTCAGCTGACATCACAGATGCTAAATCCTTATTTTCTTTAAACTTAATGGGTGAAGGGCTTGTGTATAGGCATGTGTCAGTACATAAACACATTTTTGTGTTTAACTGCAGTGTGGATTCTGTGACTAAACAGATTATCTGAGAAAAATCAGTACCCACCTCCGATGTCGGGTCTGAGTTTGTTGTCATATCCATCTAGTAGGCTATTTAGGATGTGCGTGACGTCACTCTCATACACTTTGGGAGTCAGCACCCACGTCTTGTTAGACACCTCATCGTCTTCCTCATTCTGGAAGGAGCTGTGGGGAGCAGAGGGAGAGAGGAAGAAATGTAATCAATAATTTATTTTAAATGGAGAGCAAGCACTTGCTCTGCTTTCTTTTCAGAGACATGTTAGGAGATGTGAGACACAGCAAGTGACAAGTCTTTTGAAGATCTCAACCCAAGGTCGGGAGATAAACTTGGGAAATGTTTCTGACTTTTTCATCACCCACACTGAGATTAATCCTCCCCTACCTCTTTGTCTGTTATTTCTCACACAGTCGGTGCAAATTCAGTGCAGTACGCATGATGGAGAACATACATTTTCAATGAAACAGTTTCACACTATAAGGATCTCATTTATCAAAATAGCTGTTTTGGTCTGCACGGACTGAAAATTATGTTTCTTTTTTATACACCAGTCTACACTAAACAGTTTTTTCACCTTGAGATATTTTAATTCTTGCACCAGTGCGGCCTTAAGCATATATTTTCATTTGCAAAGAGAGTAGAGTATCTCTTCGGACATCTTTATTCTTTTACAGTTGAATGCATGTATGTTTTTAGTCGAACCCACTACTAAGTAGTAAGAACCCACCAACCCACCAACATTACAAGTCCCTTCATGTATTTATATCGCACATAATACAAACAGTTGGTTATCTGATGTTTGATGAGATGAAAGGGCCGAACCTATTTGCTTTTGATCTATGCATTCCCTGCACAGGATGACATCTGATTTGTATTTTTCATAATTCAATGGTTCTAAGTCTTGATGGCTGCCGTAGAATAAAAATGGCATTAGGCTCATACACACATAAACATGTAAGAGGATATTAAATAGACATACAGACAGCTTCTGGTTGATGGATATGATGTTAACTCTAATGGGAGGAGCCATTACATGAATTAGGAGATAATTCAATGTATTAGAGTTTTCTTTGTTCGTTTTCATTGGAAAACAGTAGAGTAAACATAAGTGCCACAGTAATCTATGCCACACATCAGTTTAGCCATTACCTGTTTCAGTCATTGAGATGTGGTGTTAATGTTTAGGGTTAGCGCTGTGCAATAAGACACTCTCCATATATTGCATAAAAACATTCGTAAAGATCTATCGTGTATTTTGTTGTACCTAATATTCCACTCTTAACAGCAATATCTGGAATTGGCAGGATTTGATTGAGAACAACACAAACAAAGAGTAAACGTGAACAGGAAACTAAGTAATTTCAAACAGGAGAAAGAGCGTAACTAGCCGAGACAAAGCGAAGAGCTCAAGCCTTTAGAATCACAAAGATGGAAGGAAACAAAGGCTGCCATTTCAACCTAATATCAGCAAAGACATGGCCCTTTTACACAGGTGAGAAAATGTAAAATGGCCTCATATTTTGGGGCTTTTGGCTTTATCACACAGCACCAGTGAAGGTAATGTGATCATGTAATCTTACCATATTTAAAACAGGTGATGTTCACATGAATGTGAAGTAAATAAGATGGAATGTTACACTCACACCTGAAAAGATTCATTTTAAAAACTCCTCCTTTGTCAAGACTGAAACAAGTTCAATCAAAGTCTCTATGTCAGATGTTCTGCCTTTTATTATCTTCCATCCAAAAGTGACAAGACTTCAAAGAAGTAAAATATGAAGCGAGGTAACTCAAGGCTATTTTCACCTCTCAGAAATGGGAATGTGACGAAATGGTCTGGCCAGTGAGAGATTCAAAAAAACCTTTTCTTAACCTCTTGTCTTTTATATCAAAAAATTAGACAAGTTAAAAATGAATGTGCTCCAGTTAAATCTTATCACTGTCCCACTTTCAGTTTGTCAAATCTTTGTCCAAACTCCTACTTCCACACCTACTACTACAGCCACATGCTTTCTTAGTGACTCCAGTAAATATTCCTCAACTAGTAAGATATATTACAGTTCAATTACTAGAGTATAGTATAGTTTAATTTTGAAAAGAAAATGTTATCCAGTATTCCACCCAGAGCCAAACTTCTCCTCCGTTTTCAACCCAGTGACTCCAAAAAAAAATGATGAATAATTTCTTAGACGGCAGAGTTTAAGAACTTGGTGGCAGAAATATTTGTTGGATCATAAAAGAGGGTTTTTTAGGGTCCCCTAGATTCTGTGAAAGCTGAAGAGGAGATGTCAATTTTCCTCATTTTACGTCCTCATCTCAGACATCTTAAAGTGAAAAGATAATGATGCCTCAAGAGCCCTGACCAAAAGTACCACGACGGCGGAGCAATAAACATTTTTCTGCTTTCAGTATATAAGTATTATCTTGTGTAAATTATTTCTTTCACATTAAAGCCCTGGATAGAAGATGGAATATGTTCTTCTGTGACATCATGCTACCTTGACAATGGCAGTATAGACTTAGCATTGAAAATTGTTATCTGCACTAAGAGGGTCGATTATTGCATTTGTTATTAGTGGAATCTCCTTTATATGTGCAAATGCATTAAAGAGAAGTGTACTTCTAATTACAGACAAATTGCATCTCAGATAAGAGAAAATGTGTATTTGTAAATAACACAGATTAATTTAGGCACATAATGCATCACAAACACTGCAGAGAGAAAAGAGAGAAGTGATGGAGCGGTAGATCGTGTCAAATCCTCAAGCTGTCACAGCTCTGGATCACTCGAGCACCTCCAGCAACCAATGGATCAGATCAGGGAGAGTGGCAACAGCACAAAAGAGCAACCTTGAAACAGAGCGAGCTTTCATCAAGCCTTTCAAGCTACGAGAGGAAAAGAAACGTCTGAATGAAATAATAACAAATGGGGGAAAATGGAAATGGTGAGAAGAAGACCAAAAAAAAACACTGTTTCCATGGTAAAGCACAAGGACAGAAGCCCTGATAGCTTTCTCATGTTCATAGGCTGGGTGCGAGGAATAATGTTTTGACCAGAGCGCTTTCTCAGACGTCATTAAGTGCCATCCATCTCCATCACAACACCAGAGCCTAAAACATTAAATGTTAATTATTTTACTCAGGTTGAAACCCTTTTAGATTATTCAAAATATCCAGAGAAAGCCTGTCTCTGACACAGACAGAGAGACAGACGGATCGTGGAGGAGGCAGCGGTAGAGAGGGATGTGAGAACCTGAACATTTTTTTTAGGTTACTGCAGTTTTATCATCTATATTCATCCTGCAGAGTAGCTCTGTATATATGGAAATGCTCCAAAGACGAGCAGATCAAAGGCAGAGCCATGTGTTCTCCACTGCAGGCAGATGTGAGGTTTTGCCTACTAATTTGGTACCTGAAGGCCCACAGAGAGGTCCGCAGCAGTGTGTGTGCATGTGAGCGAGATGCTGTGTGTTTGTTTTTCATGCATATGTATGGCCATGTCTGTGTATCTAATGATGGAGAGTCCTGGAGTTGAGTGTTGTGTTCACAGCTACCCGTATTGACACTGATCTGATAGTTTCATGCATTCTACCCAGCGCATCAACGAGAACCACTTTCACCTGCTATGTATGCAACCGTCAACAACCGTCTCAACTATCGAGCCAATCCCACATGAAATCTCACCTCAGGTTTTATATAACTATCCCCATCCTCTGCAGTTTTACATATTAGAATACAGGACAAGATAGGGAATATCTCTTGTACGTTTGAAGGCCTCACAATCTAAGTTACCAGCTACCATTAGATGTTAGCACATGTTAGTGGCCACCAGCGGATGTTAAGGACATGTGTTTTGACCTTGTGCTCAATGATACAGGCCGAACTTGAGGGTACGCTGAGGCTAAAGTAAATCTGACGGCTACTGGCTTGTATGGCAGCACTTGACCGTATTAATAATAAGGTCTAAGGAGGGGACTGATGGCAGTATCATCTAAGGCAACATTTCAACCATTAGCATCTACATCTGGTTTCCTTGAGCTATCTGTATCTGTATCTTTGCATGTTATATATTGTAGCTAATAAAGGAAACCTGCTATTATCACCCAACATGTAATTGGTCCTGCGCTCATGGCAACAACACAACAAACCAGCCTTCCTCATTATTTTATAGCTACAGAGCTCATTTCACAAGCTCTGCCTTTAATTAAAAATTATGTTAACCTAATAAACAAACCGTCATCATTTAAAACATATATAATAACTTCTTTTCCGGTTTAATAAATCAAGCAGTCAATTCAGATCACACAGATTATCTTATACTGGCATTCAAGGTTGACTTGTTTCTGTCACCTACAGTAAAACAGATTCGAACAAAGTCATAATGTTGCCAATATCTTTAAAAGGTCCAATCAGTAATTTTTTGGGATGTTAAATGCAACGTTACTCACATGAACAGTTGATATTTTGAAAATGTACTAGATGATGTAAACATAACAGCAACATTACAGTATTAATATGATATCAAGCTTTACTTGGTGGATTAAACAGCATGTTTAATTAGACAGTGATAGAAGGGTCAAGTCCTGCTAGATGTAGTGAATTATGATGAGTCAACATCTAACGCTATGGTGAATGTTAGTAATAAGTTAGCTCATGCAAAATCAGGCTAACTAGATCACCACACATAACTTTTTACGGGCTGGATTAAAAGTATCCTTGATTCACCTGCTGTGTACTTAAAAGATCCCGGAAGAAACTCACAAACCCTTTTAGATAATAGAGAACAAAAAGATCCATATTTATCTACAGAATCTTTTATGGACAGTGAAATGAGGAGAGCAGATATTGGTCATAGTGAAAAGACTCTTTTAGCTTTATAACAAAAAGTCAACAAAAGTCTTTTGGGTAAAGGCAGATAGTATGAGATGGTATTTGAGAGTAGCTCTGCTTACTTAAAAACTAAACTAAACAGTGGCCATTTCATAATGAATCACCCAAACTGGGATGCAACAAGTGGCAGGTGGGAGTCAGGATTGAATTCATAAAGGTGGAATGTAATTCTCTCCTGAAGATTTGTCTCACATCATCGTACAGAAACTCAAAATTATAATTAGAAATGAGAATTAAAATGTATTCAAGTGCAGAAATTGTTTTGAAAACTAAAAATGGAAGCTTAAATAATCTTTAGTGTGTTCCAAATTGTGGTTATGTAATGAACTTCCCCTGCCATCTGAAATAATAGAGGTGAGTTTGCAAAACTGAGTCACCAGAGCATGACAAAAGCTTCCTCACTCTGACATCACTTCCTCCTGCCGTGGCCACCCCCATGACCCCGAATGTACCGGGAACACGTCCGCCGAAAATTTCCTCTATACTCAGAAGGTTAGTATAGAGGTGTGTTCATGTGCCAAACCTGGATGTGATGTGAAACGGTGATCGACTGCATGCTGTGCTTTAATGTATGGTGATGCAAGTGGGCACCACTACACATAGTAACTGTCAATGAGTCACAAAGTAGCATAGATTACCGAAAAGCGTGCCCGAGGCCTTGAGAGATGTCTTATGTAAGAGGTCTCATACATGAATCACAAACCACTTCCAATGCAACGTACAATGCAGCTGTCTCTTAATCACTGTTAAAAGAGCCAAGACTTTGATAAAGAGGAAACATCTCGCTGTCACTCTGGGATGATAATGATAAGTTTGAGCCACATAAGCTTTATGCCTTGTTGTCATTATTTAAGAATCACCCACATGTCACTGGCATTGATCTGTTTCTGTTGATTAAGCTTCAGTCACTCATGCACAACTTGTAACATCCATAACCTGCACATTCATCTCAATGCTGGGTGTAATCCAATTGGGCCAAGGTGCAGTGTTTACTCGAGCGTGCGGTGAACGCAACACGGGCGTATACAATTAGAAATGCACAGGGCCTGACGATGGGGGCTGGGCAGCGGGCCCCGTGGCTGCCATCACCAAGACGGTGATTGAGCGTCGACTGATTTATCTGCCTCCATTTTTCACCCTCCAGCAGCACAGGAGGACGGCGAAGCAAAGAGCCTAACCATCCGCTTCCCCCCCTGACTGTTCTTATCTGAGTACACAGGAATAATGTCCTGACAGGGGCGGCCCAGCAGTCTCCATCAACAACCCCCTTCAAAATCTGCACCTTAAAGCTGAAGTGCAGCTCCCTTCCTTTTCTCTCTCTCTTTCTCTCGCTCTGTGAAAACAAGGCTCTGCCATATGTGTTATCCTTGTCCTTATTGTGCCTTTACACTTGTATTCTCTGTGTGATTGTCTGCCATTTTGAAAAAGCTTTTTCTTTTTTATGATTTCAAACGCGTGGGAATCAAACGTGTGCCCTCATTCACAGGATACTTTGTCTTGACCATTGTGGACACAGCCTCTATTCGACCAGTGCGTTTTAAATAACGAGGCTTTGGCTCTTAGAATAGACCTGATCCTTGAAGACAGCTTAGCAGAGACAGTGTGTAGCCTTAGCTTCAGCCACTGGGCTATTTCCAACACCGGACAGATTGTCACAGACACACTGGACAAACCTTATAGAAAGATTCACCTGCAAATAAGCGGTAAACCCCCTGATGGCCACAGAGGAATCTTTATGACCGCGCAGCTGTTTGTTCGCTTTGGTTTTCAGTTACGAAAAAAATATGATGATGATGCACCCGATGCTTGTGTCGCTGTGGCCGCGTTAAAAGACACAATATCACACCTCCATGTTAAATCTACACCTGTAATCTAGGCCCCGAGATTCACCACATTGCTTTTCTACTGAAGACGAATCCCCGCTGCAGTCGTGTGAACACCCGGGTTTGTTTTAACGTGACATGGATGAGCCGCAGCAAAAACGCACAAATTAAGACAAACACGCAGCCCGAACACGGAGCGCGCACACACGATGGAGGTTTTTTAACTAAAGAGGAAATATCACGCGTCAGTCTCTTACCTTGTGGGGAGATTAACGGCAATAAACACCCAGAGAAGCAGCTTCAGGGGGAGGGAAGGCTTCGCCATTGCTGCCGAGCATTTGGAGGCTAAACTGGGTGAAGCCATCATCACCATCTTCGTTTCCTCTCTCTCTCTCTCTCTTTCTCTCTCTGTCTCTCTCTCTTGTTTTTTGTGCAGATGTCCGTCTGTTCACTGTGTTTCCTCTCTACGATACATTACGCGCGTTAGCAGCGGCGGGTCTGCAGATCTGGACCCGAGGTGGACGCGCGGTCGGAATCAAATCAGCCCAAAACACAATCGATGCGAGTCGAAGGCTTGAATTGGTGTCGCTCGTCGTTTTTTCTTTTTTTTTTTCTTACAGTGCCTGTTTGTGAATCGAGAGCTGAGCAGGGCCCTGAAAAAACCTGCCACAGACGACGGAGCCCCCTCCTCGTAATGAGCCAGTTCTAATATCAGGCAGCGGAGAAAAGCAGCGGAGCCTCGGTCTGAATGCAGATTAACTCCGGGGTCAGAGAGGAGCTGATGCACGTTGCTGCAGCAGCGATCAACACATGCGTGGTCTCCCCAGGCGGAAGCTCCACACAACCGGAGGAACAAGCTGTAGTTTGCTGCTTTATTCAAAAATGTTTTCAATTGTTTTCAGTTTCAACCACCAGCACTTGGTTATTCTTAAAATATAACCATTCAAAACTATATATACAATTATATTTAAAGTGAAGGACAATCGCCCACTGATGTGAGAGAAGTTTCCACGAAATAACAATTAAATATACAAGGTGGCAACAGGAGGAGAAAGTTATTTCACAATTAAATCAAGTTTCCTGCACACTGATTGTCCTACATACACTTATAAGCAAGTACAACAATCAGATTATAAAATATAAATAGTTTAAAGATGTTGGCAAGCCCCGACATTCAAACTGGACTCAAAACGGCTTAATTACACCTTTTCTTAAGCCTATATGTTCCCTACTGATAGTAGTGACATTGCCCTCCACCTTGCTCATGCCCTTTGGCTCAAACACTGCACCGACCACTCCATCGGCATAGTGGTGAGTAGATAATGAGTACATGTTCACATTTTAGTGAACTATCCCTTTAAGGCGCGGGATAAGGATTTGGGCTGTCCACAATGAATAGAAGTCAATGCTAAGTCCCTATAACGATAGCTACGCTTGCACAGGTGTCTTTGTGAGGACGAGTTGGCCCTACACCCTACAGAGTGGAGACATTTTTGTCGATACCTCACTACTCACTTTCGGACCCACTTCCAGAGCTGTTTGAGATTTAAGACTTAAGGCTTTTATGGTTAGTGTTACAATTGGGTATAGGGTAGAGTTGGTTCAAGGGAATACATTATAGAAGGTCAAGTACAAGGTCAGGTGTGTGTGTGTGTGTGTGAGTGTGTGTGTGTGTGTGTGTGTGTGTGTGTGTCTGTTTGGAAACTTGTAAATGAGCAGCAAGCACAGCTTCTTTTACGTCATGCTCTCAGCACCCTGGACAGTTCCTCTACTTTCCTCTGCCTCACGAAGCACAGACCAGCACCCTGGACAGCTGCCCTCATGTGCAGCCTGAACCAGAGGAGCTCCGTCGCTCACACTCGATTCAACAGTAAATAAATAATTCTTTATAATCATTCCCAAAATTGAGCCCAAAAATCTGGATGGTTTCCTGCACTGATTCCTTGATGCATTAATTTGTTGACTGATCTTGAGGAGGAATGCAACCCATTCCAAAAGACATGTTTATATTAAAGTAAGTTTAACAATGCTTGCATGATTCACATAGTTTATGAGGCATTGTATTAAAAACCAATCCAGGGAGAGTTTCCTGAGTTTGGCATTGTCCTTTGCAATTTCTTTATAACCCACTTCCCCATCCTTATGCAAGTATATGCTAATGCTTATGCTTTGGCGGGTGTAACTTCTTTCCAAGGGCTCCTTGAGGGGAAATTTAAGAGAAAATATGTGTTCATAATCTAAAATACATAATGGTGGCCCATCCCACGCTGTCTCATAAATTACTTTGATGCCGCTGTAACATTTCACAATATCTCTCCCCCTCCCTCTCCCTTTCACTGTGAAGACACACATTATTACTGGGATGGAAAGTCTCAAACTCTTCCTTTTTTATTAGAGCAAAGTCATGCAGATAAATGTATCATTAATCAACACAGAAGTAAGAGCAAAATCAGTTCTTGTCTGGTCTCTTGTGGGCTCTGCTTGTGATGTGACTCATGTGTCCTCACTAGCAATGTTCTGGCTTCTGCTTTTGACTGACACAAGAACACTCTCACATCTGCCAAGTTTCCTTCTCTCAAGTCCGTAAGTCTTCTGTGCTAAAGTTTAAGTTCAAGTGGCATTTCTCTCACAATATAATATAATTTTCACAGAAAAATTTAGTCAATACCATATCAACACAGGGGTTTACAATATTGCTCAAACAAGATAAGATAACACAGCATGCAGCAGGAACGACCTGTGCTACTTCTCCTTCTGACGCTTTGGGTAAATCAGTCTGATGCTGAAAATGGTGTCCTGCTGAAGGTGAGACTGGTTCTCCCTCATTGATGATAGATTAGCTTATTTTCCCTCATTTTCCCCTCTTCTACTGCCTCCACTTAGTCTAAGGTATCCTGGGACCGAGGTGGCCTTTCTCTTCTGTCTGTCCAGTCTGTCCCTGTCAGCAGTTGAGATGCTGCTGCCCCAGAAGACCACTTCAGAGAAGATGGCTGATTCCATCACAGAGTCATGAAAGGTCTACAGGGACGTCTCTCAATAAGACGATCTCCCCAGCAAACAAAGTCTGCTCTTGCCCTTTTCCAGTCCAGTTTATTGTTCAGGTGAAACACCCAGAGATTTCGATAGAACTTTTTCAGGAGACAGGAGGGTGAGTTGAAAGAGAATTCTGCAGTGTAGAGCTCCTGAGCCATTCAGTCATATTAATAACACAAGTATTATTCTTCCTCTATGGTTATTTTTAACATTTTCATTCATACCTTCAAAAAATGTGAATTGATGTTAGCCGAAACTCTTCTGGTATTAAGACTGAATGAAAGCGGGCACCAGTGAGAGTGGCAGGTGCAGTTGAAAAAAGCAGGTGCTTGCAGAGTTGCTGTCTTGTCATGGTGCATTAGCCCAAATTCCCCTCTGAACATTTATATCACAGGTATACAGGCAGCGAACATGCTGCAGTATCACTTTTACACTCCCTCAAGGCTACAACCACAGTGAACTGACAGTATTTTATTTTTCATATATCTGTGGCCTTAAAAAACATATTCCCTCGAGTGACAACCATCTTGAGTTTGGTTTCAGTGTTTGAACAATAACGATGAAAATCAGAGTTGATTGGTCCCACGTATGTGTGACATGCACGGAAGATGAGGTGTGTCTGGTTTAAAAACACCATCATGTGTTTTGGCAAGTGAGGCTCCATGTAGGTTAATCATCTTTAGAGAATTAACAGCTGCTTCATCAGCGGAGCAACTGATGAAGCAGAGTTAACCATCAACCTCCTGAATACAGCGCGGTTGTTTAATAATGATTTCCCTCGCCGCTCAGTACCTGATACTTTTTACAAATCGAATACGAAACAGGTGACAGCAATTTAGATCATGGATTGATATTCTATTAAATGTTTTCTAAATATATGTCTATTGCAAAATACTGTTGGGATGTGTAGTTCACAGGACGTGGCAGAAAATGATATTTAATCAAAAAGACAGGATTATTGTCTTTGTTTTTTAGCTTGACAGATAAATGGGGCTGAACTGAACCCTGTTAAACCGAACAATAAACAAAATATAAAATTTGTACATCAAATCTCAACATACATTTTACTTCACAATATTAATATAGACAAACCCAGCTGGTGAGAAACATTAGGCCATGGCAGAAAATCACAAAAGCGGAAAAAAAAAGGAGATACACAAGAAAGATAAACAAGCTAAATAATTTCAAAGTAAAACAGGAAACAACTATCACAACTATCTCCATTGTCTTTGCTATTTTTTTTTTAAATGTTACTGTATTCTAAATATCTACAGCTGTAAAAATGGAAATGTAGACTTTGCTCATATTCAAATTAAACTGGTCTTAGCGCTTACAGACACACAACCACAACCCATACCACTCAGTCCCCAGGGCCGGTATATCTCTCTCTGCCCTGCAGCCCTGTCACCACAGCTGTCAGCATCTGGCCACGCAGGTCATGACCCAAACCTAAGCACATCTGAGGTTAGCAGTGGGAGGTATTGATTTAGCTGAAGGATGAGGTAATTTAGATAAATGCTAATACACCCAATGGCCAATACATTTTAACAGTTAATTAGCCAAGGAGGTTGCAGTTGTTATTTTTTTACTGAGAGACGTTCACAGTTTATTAGATACCTGAGTTAAAAGGGTGAAGGAAGGAGGGTTACTTTGTTATTTGCCATCAAAACAAATGACAAGTTGTTTACTTTTCATCTGTGTAGCCTCTATTGACCATTTAATCTGATGATACGACACAGCATTTAATACTCGCCCTCTCGTTCTCTGTCTCTTTCTCTCTCTCTCACACACAAACACACACACACACACTAACAGAGAGAGCAATAGATGTCAGGTTAGATCCACTTGGTTCAATAGTCACAGCAGAAATTGGAGCCAAACTGGTTCATCCCCATGTCATGGACGCACCTGGACTCTCGTGCACTGACCCGACTGCAGAAACCTATTCTACAGTGTGTTTATAACATGCAGGTCGTAGTTACCGCTACTGACATGAAGGTCCTATCCTTACAGGCACCCAGGTTTACACGGGAAACTGTTGTTGTACAGAAATGTTACACAGACTTGATTAAAATATTTATGGCAGGACAAACCAGGCATCAGGCTATAGTGGGATGGTGAAATATATAAGTAGGATCCAGTATTTTACAATACAAATTAAAGCAGATGGTTATAAAACATTTTCTGATTCAACAGACTTGGTGCATGTGGACAATGACTAGTTTTAGATTTGTTACATGTCAGACAAAAATGTTTTCATCTTTCATGGCACCCATTCTCCCTGCAGACAGAGCATGTGGCATGTGTGAGTCTGGTTGTGATGATATGTTGTGTCATCTTTAGATAAGAACTGGGGGAGGTATAGTCCCCTATAATGGCATCGTTGAACACACAGATGCCCAGCTCCACTATCTCTCCAGATTTGCAGCCCACACATATGCTGTCACAGCCTCACTCGGTTAGCATCAAGCTGTGGGAGCAGAATGATCCACTGTAAGCTCGATTGAATATTAGAAACGGTCTGGCGTTCAGACCGCATGTGATGTAATATCAGAAGCAAAACTCCAAAAGAAAGACACACACAAGAGAAATTCAAACTTGGTCATAATAAGATGGAGCGGTGAGTTTGCTGCAGCAATGACAACAATGAAATGAGATTGCAATGAATCTTAAAAAGACAGACCCTGAATATTAGAACAGGAGGTTTGTTTAATACTTTTAGCAAATATTCAAACACGTACCTCCTCTCTGAGAGCTTTTGGACATGAACATGTGGTCTGGCATTA